GCTTCAGCAGCTCCCCCCTTTTTGACAGCTGTCAAAGGAAAGTACAGATTTTTCCTTTGTAGAGTACCTAGGGGGTTGGGAATATCTTAAAACAAGCAGATTAAAGCCAAAAGGGAGAGATGCAGTCTGTACTCCTTCTCATGAGCAATGATTCCCTTATGGCTTTGTGGTTTTCTTGACAGTGAAAAAGCAAAGTGCCAAATTAACCTCTTTCAGCCTTGCTTTCCTGGTGCTCATGGATGCTGCCTCTTGCACTGTGACAGAATATACTTAACCAGGACATTGACCGGCCAAGACTTGCCTGAACTTCTGACACCCGCCACCAAATAGTTTAAAGCAGTATGAAATTATTTGCACACATTACTGGCATCTAAAAAATGAGTTTTTTGAAGGTGGTAAACCAGTGACAGCCTCTCCAGTTCACTGTTTGGCATAAACAGCCATATGGATATGTACAAACAGTCATATATACATGCAGCATATATATAGTCATATAATTCTGACAAAAACACCCTATTGCCCTGTTGAAACTTCATTTTAAAGAAGACTCAGAAGTTCAACACTCACTGTCAAAACCTCTTCTCTCCAGGAAAAAGAGGTGGGATGAACTTTGGCATTTTCCCAAGCAGCTAGAAGCTTGGGGGAAAGTGTGAAATGTGCATCACCCTGAGCACTATCAGGATAAACATTTCAAAAGAAAAGCTTAGTATTGCTCGGTGAAGAGGATGTAAATCACATAATTCCCTTCCTTTTCATGAGCAAAGTTCGCTTGCACCATTGCTTTCCCTTGACAGCTAACTTTTTGACAGTTGTCAAGAGAAAACAAAGGAAATAAAACAATTATCAAGGGCCTCTTTGGGGAAAAGTCCAGGGTTAGAACCAGTGGCAGTTTGGCAGCTAGTACCCTGAAAAGATTCAGCCAAGGTGTCAAATTTCCTCAACTGTGCAACTTCTAATCTCTGTAGTGGTGCAACTAAGAAAAATAAGTAATAGGGAACAAACATAGTGATACATATAATCTACACACTGCCATTCACAGAGTGCCACTGCTTGGGCACTTTGAAAGGGTAATCAAGCTGGTTTTCATGATATCTGGAAAAAGAAGGCTAAGTGGTATAAAAGCTACAGCAAGCCAAAGATGGATCATCATCACTGAAGGGAAGGAAACACGCTAATGTCAGTTTCTCTCAAAAGATGCTTGGGCACTGGTGGGGTAGTGGATGGGTGCCCAGTTAAACAATGGACTCAGTTGCTTACTGAGCTTGTACAACACAACAACCCCTAGAACAATCCATGGGTTGTCAGGGTGGTATGAGTTCCATAAAGAACCTACTCCCTGGAAACAGTCCAGGTTTCATGATGCAACAAATTATCATGTGTAACAGCCCATGATAGGTTGTCATGTCGTGCAAACCCAGTCATTGACTTCCCTTTATCTGCTTGTAGGACAGCCCACTCTGAATACAGTAGAGTTGGAGTAACATGATCAGTATGTATGTGTGTACTTGGATATTGAAAACAACTTATCTGCTGTTGCACTGGCACAGGCCCTAGGATTTTTGGATTTGCACTGAACTCACGTGAATCAGAGGTTCCACTACCTTGTACAAGTATAAATTCTAATGGCAGTCCTGTGAGGCTGAAAGTGTGGGCCAGGGAAGCAGATAATGGAATGATCTGGCACAATGCTAAATCCTCTGGCCAAGTTGTTCTGTGGAAAAGAACAAGCTAAACAAGGAGGGGTGGAGAAATACTATTAAACAATTCCTGTCATCTTGCAGCAAGGCCTTTGCACTTTTGTTGTTTTAAAAAATTCCCTTGAGACACGGCATTGTTCCTCAATGCTACCTTTTTATCCCCCTCCTCTATCTAGTCTCCCATATCAACTAGCATGGGGAGATCTGTGCTAATCAACCCAGAGCCAACTAATTCTAGATTATAATTGTTCCATTTGCTTGTTGCAGATACAAGGCTTAAAACATTCTGCAGTTTTAAACTCCGATGGGCAGATATAACAGTAGTGGAAACATCTGATTAGAGTCAAGTATCATTCTCTTTGCTTTCTGGAAATGAACAAATGTAGCATGGCCATCTTGATACGATAAATTAAGCTTGCAAAACAACGGCATTTCATTTCCTGACTTTTAATGACATGTGCATGATTGCTAGGAGCCAGTGTGGCATACTGGCTACCGCTGTGAAGTTTATTGTGTGATTTTGGGTCACTGACTTTCAGCCTTACCCATCTCACAGGGTTGTTGTGAGCATAAAATGGGGAGGACCAGGAGAATTATAATGTAATAAATAAAGAGCTCAAGCCAGATTATTTTAGTTATAACTTTGTGTTTGCTTCCTAGCTGTAAAACAGTGTTTTGTTAGGCTGTTAATAAAACAAGGGATGGAGGAACATACATATGTCCTCACAGAAGTGTTACCATTCAAATGTTATTTTCTTTGCTTCTTAAATACACTCTGAAAAGTACTGTTCTGAACTAGAGAAACACTACCCCGACTTTATAGTTGGAAAAAAACCTACTGTGATGTTTTTTAGATTTCAGCCTCCTAAAACTTTTATATATTAAAGAGAAAACTGTGACTATGGAATTATTCTCTGCCCTGAAGATAGCCATAATTAGCTTCCCTCCCACCCAGGCTCATCTGCTTTCAAGGCCTGACTATAATCAGAAAACATGTTAGTTTTGTGCAGCATGTTAGTTTAATGTAGATTAGTTAATACAGATTAGCCCCTTGCGTAGGCCCTACTAATCCACATTAAGAACCTTAATTAAATACAACCTGCTTAGAACAAGGTTAAATGTAAATGTGTAAACAACCTTTCATCGGTTTTTAACTAATATCTACCAAGGATCTGAGGCTCTTTTTGCAAAAGAGTTGTGCCGTTTTGGAAGAGGAGAGAATTCAATAATATGAGAAAATTAAGACTAAAGTGTGATACTAGATTTATCATGCAAAAATATAAGAATGTGTGGTAGAATGGCAAAGACAATTATATCAGCTAACACAAGGTATTATGAAAAATAGGGCTAGTGCAGGCTCATCCTTGTTATCATATTAAAAGCTACCAGGGTAAAAAATGTAGAAACCTGTGCAGTCTCTGGAGTCTTCACAGTTGGCCTGATACTGATGTAGCCCCTCAGCCTGAGGCTCAGCATCAATAAACCTTTTATGAAAGAAAGCCCATAAATCTCCAGTGATGTTCTCCTCAGGAAATTGAAGTCTGAATAAATGTTGAAGCCCTTGAAATTTCTGACCTCTCAGAAGTGGGCTATATATACATAGCAATACCATAATGGGGAAAAAAATGAAGAAGGAATTGAAAGAAAAATTTTTTATGTGAGTAACAAAAAGATAGAATGATATTTGTGGGTTCCAAATGCACATACTGAGTGTTCAAGTGTTGTGTAGAATCTTGTAAAAGCCTTTGATAGTCCCTCTCCATTCATTGGGCTTTCCAGAGAATTGCTTTACAGCCAATTCCATAGTATGCATAGTAAAAAAAAGTAGTAGTTTTTTTATTGCATGGGATACAAATTGCTTCCATCAAGAAAAACCTTCCATTTCAGGATGCCATATTTTCCTAGCACATAAACCATAGTATGTAGCTTTGGAGAAATAAAAAATCTTCTGTGTTCCACATAATGAATGGTGCCACTAAAATCCAGGCTGCTGTCACTCTGTGTGGCATACTTCTCCTCCTGTGTGTATGTTGTCAACTTAACACCGGCACTCAGTCTGCAAAAAAGGTTCTGAATGGGAATGGAAATGGATTAATCTCAAAGCAGAGAAGCCTCTCCCACTGACTTGAGATCTTAGCTGGAGTCTATTTCTGACAACATTTTTCCAGAGATTAATCATTCATCTATCAGGGCTTTGTTCAGATGCAACTTTTTCAGGAAAAAAAATATCTACTGAAATAGAGGCCTTACTGCCTGAATCTTGCCTTAGCAGGTAGAAAATCATATAGACATGAAATAGATGGGATAATGGACCCTCTTATTAGAAAAAGGAACACATTGTTAAACAAAACGAACAAACAAAACCTTTCAAGGAATAAGAAAATGCTAGTTTTTGCTTGTCTGACAGATGGGATGGGATGGGATTTGGAAACAGTCTCGTGGGGGGGTGTGAGTGTGTGGTTTTGTTTTGTGTGTGTGGGTTGGTTCTTTTAAAAAAATACCTGGAATGCATCTCTTAACCTACATAGTTGCAAAATGGCTCCAGTCATAAGGAGGGAGAATTCAGATAGCTGTTTGCACGAACCAGCAAACACTTGCAGTATACATCTCCTTGGATCATTATTTTTGGGAAGGTGACTAATAAGTCTTAGAAATAACACATAGCTGTGCATCTATAAGCCCACATTGTATGCTTCTTTGAGGCTGTGTCTGCATGTTATTTTTAAGCTTGCCAGCAGGGGAAAAAAGCACCAGTCTGTCTGAACCCTTACACAGAAAAGGGGGAAAGATGTACTGTGGACAGTGACGATACGGTTATACTAGTCCTTCTGTCTTAAAAAGTAAACTCAAGTCTGTACACAACTAGTCACCTCTGTGCAGCCTGACCACTCTCCCTTTTGCAGTCACATTCTCTGTTCCTCTAAAAAATTATGATGGAGAGAGAAGAAGGATGGCAGTCCGTCTGCTGTGGAAGGGAAATCCACATCCATTATGCGTGGTATGGCTCTCATTAGGTGTGACTCTCTGACCATTTGAGTCTGTCAGTGAGCCAGAACTGGGGCTTGCAGGACTATCAAACAAAAGCTAAAATGTGTCAAATATGTACTTGGAACTGATCTGAATATGTACTGAAAACCCATGCGTTTTGGGAGTTCAGACTGAAGAATCTGTATTCAAGAACTGGGCTCTTTAAAAACAGCAACACAGCCCATCTTAGTACTGTTAGTAGTACATTAACATAAGAATTCTATTTTTCAGTGAATTTTGCAGTTTTACCAATCTGCCTCACATTCTTCTACTTAGGTATTGATTACAAAACAACAACTATACTTCTGGATGGTCGCCGAATAAAGCTGCAGCTGTGGTATGTGTATGATCTACTTTGTCTGGATTATGTTCTTGCATTTTGAGAATAGTTAGTTTGTGGTAGTTAGTACTGCTTGGGACACATATCAACTTTGTTAAAGGTGACTAGAAAAATGTCATTCTAACAACAATGAAGAACAGGGAAAGTCTTATACATTATGCATAACAGAGGTTGAGTTTGCAGAAAGTTATAATATTCTGCTATTTTAAATTAGCTTTTATCTGCAATTATAACAAAAAGAAGGGGCAAACAAACAGCAATTTAAAAAGAAGAAAGGAATATGATAAACTAACATACCCATTCACAACACCATTGATAAAAAGAAAAAAGTGGGGGAAATGATTTGACAGCATTGTTTCAAAGATGCATTAATATACATAAGCCATCATATTTAAATAAGCATCCATACAAAATTGATGACTGTAGGATATACACTCAAATGCAGAAACACAGCAAGAGATTCATAACTATTGAAGGTTGGTGGAGCAAGCTTATTCTTCCAAGCCTGAATCAAGTCTGTTTGCTACTGTAAAGGCTATCAAAGTCCTTTTGCTGTTTGTGTATATGACTTAATTGATGGAAGGGCATCTTGGCCTAACTGTGTGCTTCCAGATGAAGTTTCTAGTACAGAATGTTATGAGGGGTCTAGAGGTTGTTGTCTTGCACTTTCATGTTTTTCCTCTGCTTCTTGTATACTTTTTTCCTCTCAAAAAACCTATTAAGGAAGGAAGGAAGGCCAGATACATGCACAATGTCTTCTGACCCTTAGCACCAGGAGCTGTGTTTTAGGAAGTGCCCCAAATTTTCTTGAAAGTTAGGTGAATTATTTAAATCAAGGTAATTTAAATCACATATACTTTTTGAACAAATGAACACATTAAGTGGTTACTAGACCAATTCACATCAGCCCAAGACATTTTTTTGCTTGCTGTGGAACTCTCACTCCATCAACATGGCTGCCAGTTTAAAAAGCATTGCTGCACCATCTAGACACCAATTCCTGCCCTCATCTATCTCCACCCCCTTCCCCATATCAGTGTTTGAAGTAGGTTGCCCTGCTGACAAATAAATATATTGGTTTGCAACCTATTTAAAAACCTGTACAGCTTGCATAGCTGTACTACTAACTACCAACCTCGATCTGGTTAAAGGAGGCAACTTGGAAGGAATCGATTTCTGTTTGGCTCCCTCTGCACATGTGGTTGGAGTCACAGTAAAGTCATTTAGTTTCCAGGAAAGGTCCAAAATGTTCCAGAAACAATAGCTGGTATTTATTAGTCCATTCTTTACCAAGATGGAAAATAAGTGTCCATGATGTTGGTTAGGTAAAGGCATACCTTTTCATAATTTCGGAAATGAATCCTTTGCTGAGTTTGTAGCACAATCATTTTCATACCTGCTCATAAGTCCCATTTGTTTACATGTCTAGGATAACAGTCTTTGGCAGAGATTATAAAATAGAAGTACAAGATTACTCAGATCTTGTTGGATAATTCTGCTGAAATGCATGCCAGTCCCCAGGTCCTGCAAATATATGCATAGTCAATTATATCCATAGTGCTCAATATCCAAAGTCAGTGCACCCAGACAGGATTCTTTTGACATACAAAAAAGTTTCTGAAGCTAAATCTCTTTGATTGAGGGTGGTAGGTAAAATTTAAGGAAAACTTATGTTTTAATGTTTTGTCTATTTTAAATTTATATTTCATTATAAATCACCTTTTTAAAGAAATACAGTTGAAATGTAGAGAAATGTTTGAAATTCCATTTAAAATTTAATTTAAACAAACACTGCTTCTTATCCATGTTGTTTGGAATGTGCCCTTCTATGTAAATGTGGCCCATGTTGTAGACTTGCCGCTACCTCTGTCAAATCATCTGTATTGGTATGATAGGGAAAGTTTGAGCATTTCAATAAAATTCAGTAGTATAAAAACAGAGTTTAAAAATAATCCTGTGCAGGTAGATCATATTTCTACCAGAATGGAATCTAGTATATGATCAGGTGGATCCCCAGGTCTTGAACCTTTGGCTTGTGTTGGATTATAATATCTATCTCGTAATTGGGATGGAAAGCTAATAGTAACCGGTCTGTAACCATTTTCTACTATACTGTGTAACACAGAAATCAGTCAAGTTCTTCCAACACTGTCAACAAAAGATCAAGGCGTTTCTTTGCAGACTGGTTCAATTTTTGGTATCTCCAGTAATAACGGTCTGAAAGAAGAGTATTAGAATAGATTCATGTCAGAGGCATTGGGCAAAATGTACCCGTTGTCTTAATCAGAAGGAGCTTCAACTTCACACATGCATACCTTTAGTATAGGCATGAACTATGTGAAATCAGGTAGACTGTGGCAAAAAGGCACATAATGGGAGGGCAGATTGAAACGCTAACTCTGTTCTTTTTAAATGTGTTTTGTCAATTTATTGAGGAGAAAACTATTATGTGTATTGGCTAATCTGCACTGATGTATGTTCAAAAGCATTGGACTCTTCAAAATGGAAAGGACTAAGTATTTTTAATAGTTTGTGATGCATCTTCTTCAGGGACACATCTGGGCAAGGCAGATTCTGCACCATATTCCGTTCCTATTCTAGAGGAGCCCAGGTAAGCACATCTCTGAAATATGCCAGTGTGACAGAATGAGTTGATGTGGAGTTGAAAGGGAAAGAGGATCTTACTTATTATATTACCTATAAAAAGCCATTCATTGCTGAATGCAAGGAGCATCCTTTGAAAAATACATGATTAGTCTTTAGTTTCCATCTCCTCCTAGTTAAATAAAAATCTAACTACACAATATAGTACAATGCACTATATGTCTTAGGAAATGATCCTTTGGGCCCTGGACATTATCTCGGGTTCCATAGTATAGTTCAGCTTTCCAGCTCTGAGGTTAGAGACAGCACTGTAACCTTGGAAGTGGAAAATAGGCACTCCAACATCACCTCACAACCAGTGTAGAAAGCACAGTGCTGGCTGTTCTCCTAGAAGAGGAAGACAACAGCTGAGAGGGTTAAAGGAGTGGGGAGAGGCAGGGAAGATAGGACACTGGAGTTGCCAGAATATGAGGTATCCTGAAGTCACTCCAGCCAACTTTCCCCCCCCCCCCCCCACAAATGCCATTGGTAGAAGGCCAAAAATGGCCATCTAGGAAAAATCTTGCATTGGATGGGTATGACTCTCCCAAGTTGGGGGCATCAGGTCATCTCCATAGGGTTACACCCCAAACTGTATCCCAGGCTAATCTGATTATCTTTATTCACACAGGGTGTGATACTTGTATATGACATAACAAATCGTTGGTCATTTGATGGCATTGATCGATGGATAAAGGAGATTGATGAGGTAAAGCATATCTTTGAATGTTGCATATGATACCAAGGAAGTGAATAAACTACATGACTGCTATTCCATCTTTGAAAAAGGATCGCACACTGATACACAAGTCAGGTGATGTCAGTGAACTGACTGGGATGGCTAGAATATGAGTGGCTGACCATGCATGAAGCCCAGTCCAAATGAAGCCCATGAATCCAACATTAAGTCCATTTGGAAGGTTTTGTAGAGTTATCCTCTGCCATGATAGGTCTGTGCAGTCTTACTTTGATGGTTTCTTTTACATTTAAATACCATTTTCCATAGAGGTATAAAGTAGTTTAAAAGCAGTGAACATAGAACATCCTATCATCAGAACAACAACAAATGTAGCAGTAAAGCTATACCATAACAGCAGTATTAATCAGGAGTAAAGCAGTACATGTTGTGTTCTACAAACAACAGCTCACTGGGTCATACTTGGGGAAAGCCTGTATGATAAGGTAATGTATTTCAAGGGGTTGTATGCAAACCAGTAACTTCTACAGTTTTAGTTTATTTTGAAGTTCTGATATTCTGCAACATCCATACACTTTAATTTTTTACCTTCTTTTGTCTTCGGATTATTGCATTGTGTGTGTGTCTTTATATTTTCTTGGATTTGATTTTGTGACTGGCCTTACATAGAGTCACTGTGGACCAAAAGAGAAGGGCTGACTATTAGGGGGGCTAACTTTGGCACACTCATACTCATTTCCCTTGCCTTTTTTCATCTTCCAGCATTTTGTTGCAAACCCTTGAATTCCCAAAGACTCTACAGTATGTTACTGTTTCCTATATCTTTTTGAGGATTTTGGGAATCATAATGGGCATGGAGCTTGTTGACAAAGTAAGAGATACTGTAAAGCAAAAGCCTGGCTGTGATCATTCCACCTGATTTACTAGAAAGAGTCTGTACTCAAGTGGCATTCTTCCAACCTAGAACTGTTTGCTTTTTAAAATAAAAATGAGAAATGTAGAACATCCCCACTTTTGTTCTACCAGCATGAACGCAGCTGGGCACAAGAAGTGATGGCTCTTCTTCACAGTTTCTGTGTATCACATACTTGAGCTCTGTGCTTGTGCAGAGCTCCATTTTGAAAACCTTCTGTACTTTAGGAATTTTGGCAGGAACTCTGTCCGAGCACTCATGTCCCTTGTGTGTTGCTGCTTATTCCCCCAGTTTTCTTTCAATTGCCACTATGATGTATGGTTTCAAACTTGATTTCCTCTCTGCCACCAGTGTTACATTTGTCAGTACCAGCAATGCAGAAGCCCATACAGAAAGTTTCTCTGTTGGAAGGCAAGGTCTGGGATACCACTTCTCTCCTTCCTGCCCCCATTGAATTCCTCTGTCTCTGAGACTTAGTTGGAGGAGAGGACCTGGAAATTGACATGTACTGCCTTTTGTATTTCAGCATGCTCCTGGTGTGCCAAAAATCCTGGTTGGCAACCGCCTGCATCTAGCCTTTAAGCGGCAGGTCTCTACTGAGCAAGCCCAGGCCTATGCGGAAAGAATAGGCATGACATTCTTTGAAGTAAGCCCACTTTGTAATTTCAACATCACCGAATCCTTTATGGAACTTGCAAGGATAGTGCTAATGAGACATGGAATGGACAGGCTATGGAGGCCAAACAAAGGTAAGTGAGACAAAAGTGAGACATACCTAATAGCAACAAATATTTTGATAAATGTTTTCAATACCAGCTGAAGGCAGATCTCACCACCACCGTTCATTTTTTAAGGTGCAGTCCAATCCAAATGGTCATTCCCCTCTGAACAGGGAGGATTACAGGCATCATATTATTTATTAATTAAAATTGTTTAAAAGTTGCCTGTTGGCATATCTGTGGGAGAAGGAGCGTGCAAGCAAACATTTCCATGCAGTTCCCATGCTGTGAAACCGGCATTCTTCACACCTGGCTGATTTTGGCTGTTAGGCTTTGGAGTGGGAGAGAAAAGGTTGAGGCTTTTCCAGGATACCATACGACCTGGTGGCACTGCTCTTCTCCCTGCCCCCAGAACACCCATTCAGTGTGGCTCTTTCCACACTGGCTGTGAGCAGGGAAGAGCTTTTAAAGCTTGGTGTCCTAGCTCCGACATGAGAGCGAGTTGCTGAGGTCAGAGCTGGGCCTCCAAATGATCTTGTTGCCTTCCAGAAGCTGTCGAGTGGCCATAGGCCTGTGCTGTCAGTAGCCCAGTCGGCTCTTTTATTGAGGCCAGATTAGAATACTGGACTTCTTAAAGAATAGGGAAACTAGCAGCCAGCCCTGGTCATATTCTTCCAAGCCACACCCTTTACTTATTTGCTGCCCCTGTGGCTTAGTAGCACATCTGAACCAATATTAATCATACACAGGTGTGTAGAGGAGAATACACAGAAAAGCTGAAGAGAGTGGATGCTGCCCAACCCTTAAGTAATATTTATATAAAGTTGTGAGCATTTCAGTGGGGCCATGCCTGGAGTTAAAATAAAATAAGAAATCACAAGGAAGGATTTTCAGAAATGCAATCCTCTTGTAATATTTATGGAGGTGAATGATATATCAGCTGAATACAAACATTTTAAAAATGTTATTTCTGTGTATTTAGTAGCCTAACAATTATAAAGATTTGAGAGTGGTTTTGTCAAATAAGCCTCTCTGCACATTTCAAGAAGCTGCTACTCTGTAGAAAATTATTTATTTAATTTATTTAAAGCTTTTATATCCAGCCCTTCGCAATGTCAAAGGGCGGTAATCAATTTTTATTTATGAACAGAAGCCATAACTAAAGGGAGGAGTTGAGGTAAAATTTGGAAGAAACTTAACAGTAGGGGTGTGTGACACTGGTAGACTTATTCCACTTGAGCTCAACAGACGTTTGACAAATCTTGAACCTTATAAAGTGGTTTGAGACAAGAGGAGTTTTTTTCACCTCCATGAAACTGCTTGAAATATTTGTGCAAATTTGGAACCAAGAACTGCATATCTCTAGGGTGATTTACATAAATTGCCTGTATTTGCATAGGCGGGGTAAATTGGGACCAACCTGTTAGATTTGAATTGTTGCTGCTGCTGTTTTTCTTGTAGTAACATTAACATGAGAAGTATGAAAGCATTGTCCTCATTATCACCACATATGCACACACTTCACCTGGGTTATCTTGAATTTTCCGAGAGTTAATTTCAGATTTGTGCAAAACGTGAGCCTCCACTGTATACATTTGCACAAATTGCAGAGCAGATTTCCCCAGCTGCAATGTGTGCGTGCGTGCATGTGTGCAAATCGCAGCCCTTTGAAAGACTCAGGTCTTCATACTGGCTCATCTTGGATCAACTGCAGAGCTGACAGAACAGCAGTGGTGGGGCCAAGTTAAGAAAATGCACTGGATTGACACCCCTACCATCACATCCCTACATCAGGGTTGGAGTGCATACTGCCACCTTGTGGCTATTCAGTATCATGTTATATCTGATTTACTTTATCATTTTTGTTTTTTCTTTTAAGTTCTGAGTTTGCAAGATCTTTGCTGCCGTGCCATAGTTTCATGCACCCCTGTACACCTTGTGGACAAACTTCCACTCCCTGTTGCCTTAAGAAGTCACCTGAAATCCTTCTCTATGGCTAATGGACTTAATGCTAGGATGATGCATGGTCGTTCCTACTCCCTCACCTCCAGCAACAACAAGAAAAGGAACAGTCTGAAGAAAGTCAAAATCATCCGTCCGCTCCAGAGCCCTCCAAAACACTGCACGAGAAACAGTTGTAAAATTTCCTAAGCATCGCAGAGTTTTGGTCAAAGCCTTTAACACAAGGACTGAGTAGCCAGGGCTGCTGTGTGTATTGCATTACACAAACAGAACAAAGAAACCTGCTATTTTAGAGTCATTTGGTTTTAATAATGCTGCTTCAAGATGTATGATGCACCCTGTGCATACAAAGAGATGTAAAACGTTGCTGTTGGATTTTATATCTATCCATTTTGATGTGCATGAAAACTTTTGTGTTTTATAAAGGGAATAATTTATCATACTGAGCTTTCATCTCAGAAATGACTCATTTTTAATTACTAAATTGAACAGTCAATCACACCATTTTATTTGCAGTTTGGAATAAGTGTCAATCTGTAGATTCAGGCAGTTTTTAACACAATGTATTGTATACATTGTAAGGAATACAAGTGGTGAAATAATTCTAGTAATGTTGCAGTAGAGCATTCAATCCTGGTTTTGTACATTTTTTTCAGTGATTTTTGAAGCACTACTTTAAGCTACACATGTGTGTATGCAGTATGCACATGATTTTGTCCATCCATGTATAAAACCTTTGATAAAGTTTTTGCTATGTTGTTTAGGGATTAATCTGTGGGTTATATGCTTATTTTTCTGCTAAATCTACATTTTTGTATTGGATATTCAGTGATCAGTTATATAGCACGAAAAAGCCAAAGATGTTGAGATGTATTTGCAACAGCAGTAAGAAGAATGTGATTTGAAAAGCTGCTTTATCAGGAAAAGACATTTATTTAAAATAAATAAAATTGCTACTGAGATGTATGTGTTTCCAAAGAAATATGTCTTCCTTTCCTGTTCTAGCTTTTCTGCACATTTCCATTAACTTTCAATGGTCTGCTCTGGTTTTCATCATAGTTTGTTTGTGACAAAAGTCTAATTTCCTGCCCAAGTTGTCAGGAAGACAATTCAGGGTACAGTCCAACAATTGTAGCCTCTGAACACCCAAGACTCCTTTGTGCTGAAGGACCAGAGGAGTGGCAGAGGCAATCTTGGCTCTCCATCCTCAATCATTTGTGATTTTTACTACATAGGTTTTTCAGCCCATATAGTATAACCCCCCTTGAATGCACACCTTAATATGGTGAGGGGATTTGAGAGTGCCACAGAAGCTGAGAGCAATGCCACCAGGAGGCCAGACTGTCATACTAAACTGGTCTCCTGGCAGGGTCTCCCAAACCAGAATGCTCAAAGCTGAGGCACTACGCTAAGATGCATCCACCCTATCTTGAGGAGCAGTAGTCATATCAACAGAAGAGAATGGATCCTTCTAATGATAATGAGGGTAGAGAAACTTTTGAAGGGAAGCTACCAGGCGGCAGCAGTAGCTGAAGGTGGCACCAATGGAGGTTTCAAGCATTGGTCAGTACTGCATAGAAGATGGTAATGGTAAGCCACTTCTGCATCTTCTTCCCTTGGAAACCTTATGACAAAACTATTCAAAATTAAAAGATAGTGCTAGTAGATGAGGAAGGTACTCAATAAGCTACTGGGGAAGAGCAAAGGACAAGTATGAATAACGCTGTTGCTAATGATGAGCAATAGGAGAATAGAACCATTCCAAGTTGCAGAGACTGAATCAGTCCAAATTTTAACAAGTACATGCCAACAAATATGACAAAAAATGGTCCACAGACTAGAAATATTCAATATACATTTCAATCCCCAAGAAAGGAGATGGAAAAAAGTGCAACTATAGGGCCATTTTTGAAAAAGGCACCTAAGGTCATATCACAAATACACATTTAGCTACTGAATCACACCAAAGAATGTCAGAAGAAGCTCAGTCTATGCTTTATGGACTACAGCAAAGCCTTCGAAAATGTGAATCTTGGAAGGCTTTCATTCATAGGATTGCCATGAGTTCATATCCTTTCTATCCCCATCACCATTAGAGATATCCATTCTCTTCTGCTGATATGACCGTGACTCCTGATGAGGGTAGATGCCTCCGAATCTGGTGTCTCTGCTTTGACTATTCCACCTTGGGTGACCCTGCTAGAAGACCAACCTAAGTGAACCATCTGGCCACCTGGTGGCACTGTCCTCAGCTTTTCTGACACTCTCAACCCTCCTAATCAAGATGTGTCTCCAAAGGCAGGGGAAAGCAGTATACATAAGCAAATAAAATGATGCCAAGCCACCTTGTGGGCCCATTGGGCCATGTGGTGGTATACAAATATACAAAATAATTAACTGCTGAGCCAAGTGCACCTAAATCCCTTGATTGCAATGGATGTAAGGCATACTGTACACAACACTGCACAGAAGTGGGTTGTGCTTTCCTAATCTACATATTCAGAGCTACCAAAAAAATGGTTACTTCTGCAAGCAAGGTAGAGACTATGGTGACCTGAGAGACAAAATAAATTTTGGGAAATTTAATACCTTTTAATCCCAAAAGTTCTGAAAGTGGCTGACAATAATTGAAAGTGTACAGGTGAGGAAGAGATGTTTGACAGCTGTAAGCCAAGTGAGGCTACATATGAGTCTTCATGTGTTTATCCTGGAAAATTCCAAATAAGGCATGCAACATATGGTCAGGTTTTTACTTGCACGGATCTTCAACAGAAAACCTCTAATCTTTCCCTCCCCACAGCTCCTCCTCTTACAAGATGTACAGGGACCACGTGCAACTTTGACCACCGGCCTATATTACTTCCAGAAGACAGCAGTAAGTCTCTCACCTTGGAGAGATTATTTAGCTTTAGCTTATAGAAGTTACAATATATCTTAAAGTATATGGCATGTTCTGGTTTTTGTTCACCATAAATGACTGGAGGTGATTTAAAGACTTAGGGAACACCTGTTACTTTTGGGACTTTTAAAGAGAAAGGGGGGAACACTGAATTTTTTTTATACCTTGCCACAGTGGAGTATTAGATGGCCTAAATTTAAAAGACCTTGATGTGATTCATCCTAGGAGCAGGCTGTTAAGACAACAGAATGATGCAAGCCAATTCCAACATGGGATGAGCTTGTCTGATCTGGAGGGACGTTGCTTCCAGGCTAAGCATGACCAAAGAACATTTATGAAGCCACCAGTGCTAGACAACTCCATACTACTTTGATTCATGTTCTTAATTGTGACTAGCCCGGATGGTTGCAGAAAGAGGAAAGTGCTAACCAGAATGAATCACGCATGAAGCATTAGACTAAAAATCACACGTCCTTTAGAAATGTAGCCACCCTGCCCTCGAAACCGACGAGAATATTTCAGAATTCCCAAGTTGATGACCCAAGTGTAGATTCCGAGCGGCCCGTATGGGTATTAATCTGGAAAGCCCGCTATGTTGAGCACGGCTAATTCAGAGCAAAGTGAGCGCAGGACTGAAGCGTTGGGAAAGCGGATAGCGGGGGTCCTCCAGCTGTTTTGCATTACACCGCCCGCCGTCCCTGATCATTGGCCATGTTGATGGAGGCTTAAGGGAGCCGCTGAGTAAAACATCTCCCACGTTGCTAGCAGGATTGCCGCCGCCTTCGTCACAACCCTTTCTTGGGAGAGACAGCCAGGTGAGAACCGCCGCTCGGGTTGCGCAAAGCCGCCAGGAGCCGAAGGGCAGCAAGGCGCGCAGGCGGGGGAAGGCGCCGTAAGGCCGAGGCTGACTCCGCCCCGCTCAGTAGCTCGGCGCTCTGCGGCAGGCTGCTCGATGCGCGCCTTGCTCGGGGAGCCGCCTGCCCAGGCCGGAAGGAATTGTGCTGCTGCCGCCCCCTCAGGCCACTGACCCTCCCCCGATGGTGTAAAGCGCCCCTGGCCGCGGCCTCCTCCGTCGTCCGGCGCCATGAACCTGCTCCCGGCCAACCCGCACGGGAACGGGCTGCTCTTCGCCGGCTTCAACCAAGACCACGGCAAGTAACTCGCGGGGCACCGGGTCCCCCGCCTGCCCGTCCAGCCCGGGGCGGGGGGCGCCCCCGCCTTCTCGTCCCCGCGCCAGCCCTGGGGTCTTCTGTCCTGCTGGCGGTGGGGCCTCTCCTGGCAGTGCCTCATCTCCCCCATCCCGCCTTTCCAGCCGGGGTTCGCCCGGCCCCACTCGCGCTCAGGCGAGCTGCATTTCTCGCCACGAAGCGGCGGGAGCAGCGCTTCCCCTGCAGCGCGATCGCGGGGACCGTCTCCGGCGCACCCGTGTCTCTTCTGGCGGTGGCCTGGGCGCCTTTGTGTGCGCGGGGTGGAAACGCCGCGTTGCTGATAGACGTGCATGCTCCCCATCCTTCGGGTGATGCACGCGTGTGTCTGTTAATGGGACGCTGGCGCTGGGCATGGCGTCTTACAAAATACAGGAGAGAGTGTCTTTGCCTCGCGGGGCTTGTAGCTGGTAATTCAGCCCAGGGCAGACAGCAGTTAAGAGACAGGCAGGGCTAAGCAGAGGTAAATAGGTAAATAGTTACGTGGTGTTCTGGGATGGCTTTGCTTACCGCTCTTTACTGGAATCTGTCCTTTTCTTCCGTGCACATCCTCGCTTCCTTGTAAGATGAGAGGGCTCGATCTAGCCAAATGCATCCCTGCTTTTCTCCTTTTCTTAAAATGCCAAATATCTCCCTAGCCTAAACCTGGCCTCCAGGACTGCTCCTCTCTTTAAGTAGCTACATATATCGTACTGCTCCTCTCTTTAAGTAGCTACATATATTGAGCTTCTTTCTGCTAGGCATGTTTGCTAGGCTTGCCCTCATTCATGTTCGCAGTCATTTCCTCTTCAGTCCATCCATCCTCTCCTTTAGCAAGCAGACAACAAAACTAGTCATGTCTCATGGCTGGACTCTGCTTCCTGAGCACTGCTGTGTATTAAACATTCACTTAGCTTTTGCCCTGCTGTGCACAGAGTCATTCTGTTCCTCAGAATACTTACATCAGTTCCTCAGAACAATGCAATCCTTTCCTGCCCTGAATATTTGTATTGCTTTTGAAGAGAGAAACATTGTGACCTGTAGCACAGTTTTGCATATAAGGATCCCTATGGAGGACCACAGACAAACTGTTGGTCACTTTTGTATTACGGTGTATTGATTTTTCAATACAATGCTTATACTAAACATTTCCCTTGTCCCATTAATATTTCCTCTTTAAGTTTCCAATTCTCTTTGTCTCATCCTCTGTTTAAACAGTAACTCTTTTATGTATATGACTAAAATAGTTAGGTAAAAAATGGATCCATAGTTACCTAACAATAAAATGGAAGTGTTTACTGTAACAGATCTCTAAGGAGTTGTATTGTGCTTGCTATGGATCACACTACTCTGCATTTGGCTTGGGAATGTTTTCACATATTAACTCAAACTTTTTGCAATATAGTGTTATACCTTTTCATATAGCTTTATCATTTCAGTCTTTAAGGGACATTTGTCCAGGATGAGTATTTATTTTTGTTCTGTTGCTGCAAATTGAGGGGGGAAAGTATTTGTTGCAGTATGTGGCTCTTTGTTTCAGAATGGTTCTTAGAAACGATGTGTTTAGTACATTTGCAGTTTATATTGGGCTTCCCCAACCTAGTGCCCTCCACTTATCTTTGATGTGCAGAACTTATCTTTGTTGTTCCAGTATCCCATATCTGGAAAATATCAGGCTGGGGAAAGTTAGTTTACATATATTTAGATTTCCATGTAGCATGTTGTTTGTGCACCTAAAATTTGCTGTGTGGGGTGGTCCTAATTGCCCAGTGTGTAAGCAAGCTATTTATTCTAGCTACTGTTTCCTTTGGGAGGGCTTGTTTTTTGTTTTGCATTTTGGGATACTATGGTTGTGCAAATTAGGGTGTATCTGTTTCCTTGCTTCTCCAGAAAATTTGTCCTGCACTGTTTTGTCACTTAAGGGCATTTACTGATAGTAACTTAAAGCTGAAAGGAACAAATGGAATGAGTCCAAAATGGTACTACTGTTGCTAGTTGTTCCTTCCATTTCTAGACCTGAGGCATGAAATTAAACATCACCTTTTTCACTGAATGTCCTAAACATCCCCTTCCATCTGCAATAATAGTGGCAGCATTAATCTAATAGGGAGCACAAAGGATGTTGAAAGTATAGAGAAAGCCCCAGAAAAAAGGGGATGGGGAGACAGATCTATCTTGTTTTTCTTAGCAATTTTTGTGATATGGGGGCACTACTTTTTCTACCACCAGTGTTTTTCCCAAGCATTCACATATCCATGATACACACTGATAGCCATGGACATATCCAACACTTTCTGCTGGCCCAGATTGTTGGCTGAGATAAGGTGGTTTAATACATGGAGATAAGGAGAAGTCACTTCAGGAGTCTTGGATAGCCTTTGAAGTAGTAAAATATTCCGCCGATTGACTTAAGCGTGAGGAGTGTTATGTGGCTTCAACCATACGAGGAACAGCCAGTGTTTGTAGAACGGATTTCTGCTCATCTTGAAGCTGCCCACATGTGCCACAAGCTGCTTTGCAAGGATGGAGGATTTTCTGGAGATGTTTGGAGTCATGAGACGGGGTGGAAAGGGAGAGGAAGTCATCTTGTGCAAGTGGAAGTCCACTTTGCAATACTGGATGAAGGCTACAGTTTCTCCACCCCTTTTAGGGTTTATGGAGTTCCTTCTTCTCTTAAAAAGAAATGCTGAGCTATCTTGTTTGCAAAAGTAACTTTAAATATGGAATAGTAACACATTTGGGTGTGGCTTGTAGTATCCACCTAATTTTATTTACAGATTATAGATGCTCTTATCTTGAATAAATAGATACTGAGGTTGGCTGAAAGGAAAAGCCTCTGTGGTTGACGGATGGCCTAGTCCTTGCTTCATTGAAAACAAATAAATGGAAGCAATATTGAATCTACTGAAGGGTGAAAATGGAAGATTTATTTTTTCCAATAACTGCCATTGACTAAAAGGAACAGGAACTGTATGTTTGACAGTGTGTTCAATTTGTCCCATTCAGTTTCCAAACTGAATGGTGTCAAAAAATCCCCATAACTGAATAGTGAAACAAATGTACATTTTTGACAATTTGGGCTTGTTCAGGTTAGATGCTTAGTGGTCAATTAAGGCAATTCTAATATGTGGGAAACATGTACGTTATGCTGCCACTGCTATCACATACGGTGGAACAGAGTGTGAATCATTCTATCCATGTTTCTTCTTTAAAAAAATAAGGCTTGGGTCTGTGGAATTCACTGCAAAAGGGTGAGTTATTTAAAAAATTCTCAATTAGATTTGTTAGGAACTACTGCCTTGCCTTTAAAACTTGTAGCTGCTGCCACTAAAGTAAACCTGTTCTGCCAAAGAAATTCAATAGTCCAGTTCCTGTGGCACAGGCTTGGGGGCGACAGCAGTCTGGCTAAAATCTTTCAAATGAAATTAAAATTTTGCTTATTTCCAAAAATAAATAAAATGGCACTTTTAAAATAATAGGTTGAGAATGCTCAGAAGTTCTTATATATGCTTCAGATGTGTCAGCATTTACTTGTTGAAGTTTTATCTAGTCAAAATGGGAATCTAACGTTTAATGTATAACTTGGTTTGCTCAAAATGATCACAATTGGTATATTAGATCTGAAAGTGTAGCATATGCAGACAAGAATTATACCTCTAAGCTGACTTGTAAATGTTTTTAATTTTAAGACTCAATGAACAAACTGAATTATGTCCCAAAGTTACAATGTTAGATCTGTAAGTGCTGCACATAAAATATTGCATATTTCCCCCAACATTTTTGTTTTTCCTGAACCTTCTTCCTCTTGAATGTTTTTCCTCCCATGGCTTCAAAATTACTTGAAACTGTGCCTCTCTAGGCTCCAGACAACTTACAGCTTTCACTACCACTTGCTTTTTGACAAGGGATGGCAGCACTTCTGTCACAGAGGCAGCTCTTCCAAGCACAATGTTTCAAACTGTGCCTGTGTTTGGATAAGCAAAACTGTAGCTGAAGGCCTTGGTTGGTTCCTGGTAGTATTTAATGCACATACTGAATAGTGCAAACTCAAAAGCTCTCATGTATTCCAAGTGATATAGAAAGTGTTCTGAATGAACTGGTATGGGTGCTTAGTTTGTTGGGTTCAAACTTGGGTTTGTAGCCCAAGTTTATGAATATCATTGGTTGGCCTTGGGCAGTGACTTCATCTGCCCTTACAAGGGTTGTTATGAGGACAAAGTGGGAGTAACTCCAGGTACACTGAACGCTTTAATTTCCCTTCTTGTGTCCTGAGTGATGTGGACGGTACCTCTTGTCTAGAGCTGCAGAGGTACACTTTTCACTGGAACATAGGAAGGTGCTTTATGCTACATCAGGCTATTTGCTCCGCTAGTCTGATTACCTGGTCTGTCTGGCGCTGACTCTGCCGAGCTTCTGGCAGAGGGAAGCTTTTCCTATCATTTGCTGTCTTTGCTGAAGAGATGCTGCCAAGGATTATCCTGGGGATGATGTGCATACAAGGCATGTGCTCAGCTCCCTTCCCCTGAATGTAAAGCAGGAGGTGGTAATGCAGTCTTGTTTTCCTTTTAGGGTGCTTTGCATGTGGGATGGAAAATGGATTTAGAGTATTTAATGCAGATCCACTCAAAGAGAAGGAGAAACAAGGTGAGCCATTTTTCTTCACTCCCATGTTTGCATGGCTGTGTTGTACTGCTTTTTCATTTTAAGTAATCCATCTGAAGGGTCATCTTCTGTGCAAGTCTTGAATTTGCTCTCAAGTAATTGTGCCTAGGATTGTGGCCTTGAGAGTTTAACGCCCTGAGTAGTTCCCATTAAACCTCTTTGTAGGAGTGTATTTTGCCTTATAATAATGTATCTGCAGGAATAGTCAGAGGAGGACCTCTGATGCCCTTGTCTAATGGTCAGCAAATAGGGCAGACAGAAGAGCAAAAGAAAAGCCTGCCCTTAGCTTGCATTTTTAACACAAGGGATATTCCTCTTCATCTGCAGCATTATCAAGCATTTGCATCGAATATTTATTTACAAATGCTCTTTTCCCTCCAGAATTTCTAGAAGGAGGAGTTGGCCATGTTGAGATGTTGTTTCGCTGCAATTACTTAGCTTTGGTTGGTGGAGGAAAAAAACCCAAATACCCTCCCAATAAAGGTATAGTATTTGAGTAGGAAGTAGAATAATTTAAGACTGACTTCAGTGCAAAAACTTTCCAAGTTGTTTTAATGTAATTGGTGCTCAATCACATTTTATCTAAGGCTGCCCTGTAGTTTAGCATTTGAACAAGCATGGGCTTAGCTGTCACTTTTCCAGAGAAGAGCCATATGGAATCTTTCCTCCGGCCAACAGTTATTAGGATTGTTGGTTCCCTGAACCCAGGAACTTTGAATCAGGGCAGTTGATGTCACTCCAGTTGGTCAAAGCAGTGATGATTTTGTGCTTCATCCAATAGGAATAAAAAGTGAAAGCAGCGTCTGAGGGGGGAGAGGGGTACGAGGAGGAATGAGAATGGAGTAAGCCTTAGGGGACAATTGGGCGGAATGGCCTTTCTCAGTCTGATGCCCTCCAGAGGTTTAAAACTGCAGCTCCCATCATACCTGGCCATTAGCAGTGCTGGCTGTGGTTGATGGAAGTTTTAGTTCAACAGATCTGGAGGATGCTGGGTTGGCAAACCTAAGGAAAGGCCTGTTTGGATGTAGCTGATATCAGACTGGAGCAGGGAAAGTGAAGAGCTGTAAAAATCATTCTGTTGCAAATGTCACCAAAAAGGGGTGGGAAAGCTAAAAGTAGCAGAGTGGTTGCTGAAAACAGGTGAGCAGTGTGTGGCATTGGAATGCTGTTTTCCTCATTCCCGGGGCTGAGATGACTAAAGGGAGACACAGGTGTTGGCAGTCAGGGCTTGGGGCATGCTCCTTTCCTTGTGCATTTGTATGAGGACCAGCACACTGAGTGACCTGGTCTGTAGCTGCTCCCTGTGTAGTTAAATTTCCCAGATGACATCACTGGGGGCACTGCATAATGTCGACAGTGTTTTAAGGCTAATAAAGGCATTTCTCCCGCTGCAGTGATGATCTGGGATGATCTGAAAAAGAAGACTGTTATTGAAATAGAGTTTTCCACTGAAGTCAAAGCAGTTAAATTGCGAAGGGACAGGTGCGTCTTGTTACTTTGTTAGAGGGAGGTTCATTTTACTGGGATGCAGCTTGTTCTCTGGAAGGAAAGAAGCCTTGGCCTTTATAGCATTTTAGCGATGACACATCTGGTCGAGCCATTTGGGATGTTCTGAAAGGGCAGGTGGAACATGTAACTGACTTGTGCTTCATGTTCCACGCATGGGCAAGTTGCATTTCAAATGAGGTGGGCCTCTTCTCCGGGAGGGACGTGTGTAAGACTAGCCTGTGCTTTTTTCCCTGCTGAAGGGAGATGAGCATTCAGATTTGGGGTAGATGTTGAGAAATTCTGGAATCAGAACTACAAGACAACGTGCATTGTGTTTCCAATTTATGGTTGTGTGCGTGAATCCGTGTCTTTTAAATTGGGCGCGTTTAGTCAAACTTAAAAAATGGCCCAGAAAAATTATTGAAGATACTGTCCTGTGTGCTCATGTTCACTTTTTACTGGGCTGTGCACTGAAGGAACTAGTGGGTGTCTGTGTGGGTGGATAAAGTAGTATGGCCTCCTGATGTCACAGAGAAGTAGTTTTGCAAGGCCTACGAGGTTACTGCAACTTTGGGCAAATGCAGGAAAGTGTTCATAGTGCTAGATCAAATTTCTCTGGGTGTAATGCTCATTGGAAATACAAGCTTGTGTGCTGTTGCCTTTTCTCTTTCAGAATCGTGGTAGTTTTAGACTCTATGATTAAAGTTTTCACATTCACGCACAATCCTCACCAGTTGCATGTCTTTGAAACCTGCTACAATCCTAAAGGTAAGTTTGGTCTGTTAGAAAAAAGGGCAAGGTGGACAAAGGAGTATCCTGCATTGTTCTTGTTTCACTTGATGGGGTGCTGTTGTATAGTTCATGCATCATACTACTTCACTGTTTTAAAAATAACTTGAGTCTTTGTACGTGCGAGGAAGTGTTGTCCGGCCAAGCAGTTTGTCCCACCTTTATGTGCAGGGGCAAAGCTTATGAAACCATTTCTCTTCCATCTTTCTGTGTTGGCACATAGGATCTGAAAAGATTCTGGTGAGAAAATGTAGCTATGATATCACATTTCAAGTACTACTTCTAAACTTAAACTAGTCACTGACACTGCTGTTGACATTAAAAATGCACCTATCTAGCTTGCAAAGTTATGTTCTGCTAATGGTAAAGCTGAACTGTTGTCTGCTTTCCAAAATAGATGAGTACCCAGGAGCTTCCAGAGTTTTTTTTTTTTTTTTTTTAAGAGGAATGGGGTAGTAATTAAAAAATCCTCGCTGGTTTTCAGAACTTTCAGTTGTATTTCAGGTCTCTGCGTCCTGTGCCCAAATAGTAATAATTCCCTACTCGCATTCCCTGGAACACATACCGGACACGTGCAGATAGTAGACCTGGCAAATACAGAAAAACCTCCAGTAGATATACCTGCTCATGAAGGAGTCTTGAGTTGCATAGCTCTAAACCTGCAGGGAACAAGAATTGCCACAGCTTCTGAAAAAGTAAGCTAACACTTATCTGAAAAGCCACAAAAAATGATCAGTGCTTTAGTCTGAATCTTGAAAGAGGATCTGTATGAATGCCACAATCGCTAGGAAATTTGCTGTTAAACTTTGTGCGAAACTGTATCAACTTGAATTTGTGGACATTAAGCAAGTGTCTAGCTGTTGTGTGAGGTATATGGAAAGAGGTGTGCTGTTTCTGTAAATATTGTTCAAGAGAAAGATCACTTATACGTTCCATAACAACCTACTCCCCTGCATAACTTCTATAAAAGGTTTCTCAGCAGTTTATTATATTTCATCCTGCTGTCTCCCTATCTTGCTAGAATTTTTGAAAAAAAAAATCTGTCAAACTGGCTGTGTTTGTGTGCGTGTGTGTATGTGTGCTGGGTTTGGCATAAAGCCAGTAGACTGATGTATTTCATGTACCCTTTTCAAGTCCTGCACCCCCAAAAAGGATTTTCCTTGGTACTAAACATGAGTATCTTTATGCCAGCAAATCTGAGAGGCATTCCAAAAGCATTGGAAAATGCTTTTGATAAACTTGACATGATGGTAGAGTTAAGAGGAAATTAAACCAACCTTCTGTGTGAAGGAAAAAGTAGCACAGTAATGAAAGAGGGAGGGAGGAAAAAAGAACTGAAGACTTGTACAAGCAAGCAGCTGCATTCTCGTGTTTGGGCTGATGTTGGTAGATTTAGTGCTGCTCTCTGGGTCTTTACCATTGCATTTCTTGACTCCCAAGGGGACCCTAATAAGAATATTTGACACTTCATCTGGACATTTAATCCAGGAGCTGCGCAGAGGATCTCAGGCTGCCAATATCTACTGGTAAGCTTTTCTATGGGGTTACTTATGGGACACAGGAGCTCTGGCATCATATGACTGTTGCTGCCCAATTGGAAGCTTCCTGCTTCAAGGGTACCTCTGGGTTTCAGCAACTAAGAGACAGGGACTTCTCCCCCTGGGGTCTGACCGGCTGAACTGTCACAGCCTGTCCAGTTTTTCATGGCATGTACCATTTAAGTCTGCAGGCACAGTCCATTGGGAAGGCCAAGTTTTGAAATTGGGAGGATTATGGGTATCCTAGGTAGGGCAGGAGCAGAGCAGAAGCCAATCTTTTCCTCTGCCTCTCCCAATCTGCAAGTCAGCCAGCCAGTTTCATCCAGCTAGCTGAGACACCTCAAATGGGGCAGAAAGGAAAATGGAGCACCACCAGAATATTGGACCTGCACATGGTAGGCATGTCATGAGTGCAGCTGGCTGGAGCCAGGGGTCAGACTAGATGGCCTGGGAGACCCCTTCTGACTCACTCTGTTTCTAATACGCTGTACCCTGGTGGTACTGATCTCTTCCCTTCCCTGCCCCCAGAACACACCTGTCTTTACCCTTTTTCCAAAGTTGTCCTTACCACCTGTGTGTTTAGAAAAGCAGGCAAAGGGCTGGAGGCCATTTTTGTCCCCCCCACAAGTGCCGCAAATGGGGGAACATATTCAAGAAAATAAATGGTTTCTATTGCTGATACAGAGTATCAAAAGTATCCAAATTAGCTTATTTGAAAATCTGGACCCTTTTGGTTTCTGTAGCAACTCCAGTCACTATTTTGTTTGGCAGTGTTGGGTGGTGGGATCCACTGTTTGCCTACTTGCTGTTTAGAACTTTAAAATGTTAGTCATATCCTTTTTTTAAAAAAGCAGCAACTTGATCCCTGATTATACTGGCATGCACGAATTTACGTCTGACTTCTCCATTAGCATTAACTTCAACCAAGATGCTTCTCTCATCTGTGTGTCAAGTGATCACGCTACCGTGCACATCTTTGCTGCAGAGGATCCTAAAAGGAATAAGCAGTCAAGGTAAGGGGCGGGGGGCGTGGCTGAGGAGAACTTGCCTTATGCCAGGTCGGGCTATTTGCCTCCCACCTTGCTTTGTCTGTAGCTTTCTAAGGTCTTGGGTAAGGAGATTTTTCCTGCCTGTTGCTACCAGATCCTCTTTTGTATCGGGGTGTTTGCTGTTCTGTCTTCTGTCCATGAGAATGAGTTTACAGAAGGGAGGACGAGGGGTGTTGGCTGATCTGGGTCCCAGTTTAGCAAGCCGGAGTGGCCTTGTGACTTTCTCTCTAGCTGAAAGATAATTATGAATGAGTGCCAGAATGGTGAGTGAAAGAACAATTATCCATATTAGACTTAATAGATCCCTGCCTTCTAACATGGTGTGTGGGGTGAGAAGAGTGTAAATTGTTCCCAGCTTTATCTGTCTGGGTTAGCCATGCAGCAGGAGGCAGGACGGTAGACTTGCAGCGATCTACTGTAATTCTGTCTCCTCTAACTGAACTCTTCCGTCACATAGTATCCTGGTGTTGAGCAGTGGGGTAAGCAGAATTCCAACTCCACAGACTCCCTTCCTGAAGTAGCCAAACTGGACCTAAACATACATCTTGAGGTTACTTCTTGACCTCTGTGGTAGCCATGCATCTGTCCCATTCAGCAGGACACTCTCTGGGACTCTGATCCAGTGTCAGCATTCTGCCAGCAGAAAGTACTGCTGGTGGAACAGGATTTCCATGCCCACCCTGCCACCCCGCATCTCAGTTCTTCATCTCCTCTGCGTGCGCATCCTCAGCAGGAGGAGGTGTGTTGTGATGAGAAGGGTGGACAGACTGGAGAGAAAGTATGAGTCTTATCCCACAGCTGCACCCTTTTGCTGAGCATGTGTGTGTTCAGGCTGCAAGGCACTAGTGTGCATTTGACTGAATAGACTGTATTAGTCCATCGGAACATGATTGTAGAGTGGTGAAACTCATGGGGAACAAAATGGTTGCCATTGGACAAAATGATGAATAAGCTATACGATGTGGGTTGTTTGTGGAAGAACCCACAGTGAACCCCACAGACAATCAGGATTAACTTGCCCCCCTCTTGCCACCAGTCTTCCTGCAGGCATCCCAGGGAATTCTGTGGCAGGACACATCTTGTCTTTTCTCCCTGCTGCCATCATGCCCCTTTCTATGGCCACTACACCTCCCCCACTTTTCTCCTAGAGATGAATTTTTGAGATCTCTGAAATGACATCCCTTCAAGGTGCCCAAGTGGCACATTACCGTAACTGTATATAGTTCACCATCCAGTTTTTGCATCCAAGATGTGCATCAGCTCTTCAGATTGCACAGGTGTGCAACTGTAACTACCCAATATGTGCAGCATTGACTTGTCAGTGTGCTGGATAGTATCCTCTAAGTACAGGAGCCAGTATCTATGGAGATTGGCAAAGCAAAGCTGGTGAAAGGGGGTGGTGACTAGATCACCTCTTTTGCAGTGGGATCCAATACTTTTGTTGGTGTTGTTTGGTCCTAACCCTCCTCCATATACACCACCTTTCCCCCCCTTTCCTAAGACTAGATGCTTGGGCAGTAGAGAAATGAGAGCCACTCGGGTTATGGGAGCACAAAGTTTTGACAGTTGTGTAAACTCACATGTGTAATGCAGGTTTTATGGCAGCAATTTGTCACTCTTACCTTGGATCAATTGAGGGGAACATGTGTCTCCTCTGTGTCACAACAGCTTCATCAGCTCCTGCTCTTTTTCCAGGCCCAATTTAAAGTACTGTATTCTCCCATGTGAATCTCCCTGGGTTTATAAAACCTTAGGAGAGGCCCCTTCCTCTATCCTGCTTTCAACATATTTGGTAGGGATACAAAACAGGCTTTCCTTTCAAACATTCCAGAGCCAAGCTTGCTGCATCTTACGATTTCTTCTGCCAGTGGCCAAATTGTTATGTATAAAGGCTTTTGCCTTTGAAGTTGACTTAATTGATGAAGTAGGTTTTAACTGGTGGGGGCTCTTTTTTTCTTAGTTTTTTGTGCATGCTTAAAACTGTTATCCTTTTATAGTTTAACTACAATTTTGTATTTAGTTTGTATTTTACCATGAGCACTACTTGTGAAAAGTTGGGATATAAATTGAATTGGCAATAAGGTAATCTCTGGACTCTTTGTGAACCTTGTAACCTCTGCTACAAACCAGTCTGTTTTAGTGCTTGAAATCCTGACTTCAAGTAGTGAAGGAGTGTGTTTTTTCTTTCAGCTTAGCATCAGCCAGCTTCCTGCCCAAATACTTCAGTTCCAAATGGAGTTTTTCCAAATTTCAGGTTCCCTCAGGCTCTCCCTGCATCTGTGCCTTTGGAACAGAGCCAAATTCTGTCCTAGGTAAGTCCAACAAAATCCAGATCTTAAATATGTTCAAGCAGCTATGGTCACTGAAACAAACTTCTTAAAACACCATGTTCTTGTATCCTTCAAGTAGTTCAATTTATTTTAGTGGGATTTAATTCTAAGTTTTTTGCACTGGATTGAACAGAATGTGTTAGTCTACAGGCTATACTGAAACATGATTGAAGGCAAGAATGGCAGAACTCATGGGGTGGGGGGACAAAGTGAGTAAATGGGGCACCAGCACTAGCAGGACCCCCGACCCCCCATATGGCCACTCACTTTGTTCCATTCAGCTATCTTCTCAGGGTTTTTTGAAGAACTCTCAGGAAACTGCAACAGTAAAGGGAGTTGTAAAAGGCATGGCTAATTTCTCCCTTTCCTGGAGTAGCTGGGGATGAAGTGTTAAAAAGATGGGCACTAATGGTCAGATCAGTATTGAGAACATTGCATTGGTACTGGGGAGATACTATTGCATTCCCTTTTGGTGCAACCACTCCCCCCAGTCCTTTACAAGTCATTTTCAGACCTCAGCTCATCACCTGTAGCCTCCATGTAGTCTCAACTTGCAATTCTGTTGCCTACTCAACTTTGCTGCTTTAACAGTTGAGATAGGCAAGGACTTTGACTAAGCAAGACTACGTATCTTATCTACATCAGAACAAGGGTATACTCTGAAAGACTGACCTCCTCCAAAATACCCTATCCCAATTTCACCTTTTTAAGGCACTGTATTTTTTGTTAAGTGGTGGCAAACAAAAAGAGGCTGCTAGAAGGCAGGATAACTTCTGCTGCCAGGACACTGGAATATGGGCTGGAGGACCAAGGGGGAAGGAACAGGGAGGACAATCTATGGTAAAACAGCTTGCCTGTTTGATGAACAAGCAGCCCACCCTGGCTTATATGCACTGTGGCTTAAGAATCTGATCAAGACTCTCAGATGCTAATCTGAAAAGAATCTCTCTCTCTTGTAGCAATCTGTGCTGATGGCAGCTACTACAAATTTTTATTCAATCAAAAAGGGGAATGCTCCAGGGATGTCTACGCTCAGTTCTTAGAAATGACTGATGACAAACTTTGACTGAACTGATTGACAGAAGCTTTGTGGAGGGGAGTTATGTTTGGATCCCCTCCTACTTATTCTCCCTCTCCTGAAGAGATTGCCTCTGACCATCCAGCAATCGACAGTGCTGCTCAAGATGGGACCGACGATCTTAAGAAGCCCAAGCCAATATGACTGGAGCAAGTTGCAAGGCTGAGGACTAATATGTTAACTGTCAACAGCTGGTTTTAAATGTTAGTTTTGGCTGCTGCTGTTCCTTCATTTTTTTCTTAAAAGTTTCAATAGCCTGTGCCTATTGGGTTTCTGTAGTTAACGTGTGAAGAAGCTTAGTACCTGCCACACCATATGGTTTAAGGAAAGGGCGTTTGTGAGTTAAGCAGTTAATGGACTCCAAACAAATTCAAACTGGACTTCTACTGCTATGGTTGGAGGTGGTGGGAGTGGCTTTACAGACAACATGGAATATTTATACCAGCAGCTTCTGCCTTTCCAAATACCTTGTTTTTTCCTAATACACGGAAGGGAATCAGCAAGTCAGCTTTGAGTTGCACTTGCTCAGGAACAGATAAAATGCTCAAGTTCTTGTCTCCATATTGCTGAATAGGTGTTAACTTGTTAATGTCATTATCAAGAGGTGCCAAATGACTATTCCATAGCAAACAGCATTACACACTGCTGACCCAAATAACCATTATGTAGGGCAGGAAGAAAATGGCATAGGAAAATGTCAGGGGAGTGCAAAGCTGAGTGTCTAGATAGTGGAAGTAACCATTCCATACTGTTCAAATCTTCCATTAATGTTGGCACTTCTACTGAGCAAGGAAAGGCTCACAAGACAGTCTCACATGGGCAAGTGGTAGTATACCATGCTTCTGTAGTCTGCAAGATGTCCCTCACTCTCATCTAGTGAGTTTACGAAGCCGCTGCTTGTTTGAACAAAAATGAACAAAGCAACACAGCTCTATTTCGAGAACGTGGGAAAATAAAGCATATGGACTCCTAATTTTAAATTGCCACCATCACCCCTTAAAGCACAACTTTAATTATTTTTCCTTATTTCACATATGCTTACAAATTAACTGAAGTCTTAGTTCACAAAGTTGTAAAGTATTGCAATTTGTCATTTAACTAAAATCTGTATTCATATGTCAGTTTGCATGTTGCTTTTAAATGTGTATTTAATCATGGAAATTGTTTTGCACATCTTTTGTAATACCCTAATTAAAGTGACTAATTTACTGTATTTATTATAGCAACAAAGCATTACTTCCAGCTAGAGTTTTGCAGCTACTGCCTACATAGCTGAAGATCAAGCAAACAGAGAGCTTATTTAGACTCTAGTTCAAGACTAGTGTAATAGATAGGGCTACAGCCCTAGCAAAGGATGTCCCCATCCCACTCACATACACTTAATTAAAACACCAGACACCATCACATACTGCAAATACATGTTACAGTCAATAGACAGGACCCAATGTAGTAGAAACATAAATGTTTTTCTGCAGTGGAGAATTTCTGACAGTTCCCAGGGGGGTAGGAGAATCAAGTGCTGTAGGGAGGCTGCCTTTTATGCATGGGGTCTGACTGGCTGAACTGTCACAGCCTGTCCAGTTTTTCATGGCATGTACCATTTAAGTCTGCAGGCACAGTCCATTGGGAAGGCCAAGTTTTGAACTGGGAGGATTATGGGTATCCTAGGTAGGGCAGGAGCAGAGCAGAAGCCAATCTTTTCCTCTGCCTCTCCCAATCTGCAAGTCAGCCAGCCAGTTTCATCCAGCTAGCTGAGACACCTCAAATGGAAAATCCCTTTGGCACAGCCCAAGGGTCAAGTTCAATATACCTGGTTCCTTGACCATGAAAATACTAGGGTGAAGTAGGTTCCAATATAAATAATTGTAACAGGGAAACAATTTCAGGAGGTATAGGAGTTTGAATGTGCACTACAGTCCAACCAGAAGTGTCAAACACATGCTACAAGGTCTATGGACTAAGTTCAAAGGTGCACACAACACTCAAAAGAGTTGCATTGCATTGTAACAAAGCTGTTCGATATTTTTTGTTTCTATCTCAGAAGAGATGGTCTTGCTAATGGGAAGTTACTCCACCCAGAGCAACCTATGGAGCACAGCTTAATCAAAGATGTAACAGCTGCTTCTTCCTAGCAGCAAGTTGCTCACATGAGCCAAACTAAGACACTTACGACAGCTGCACACATCTATTAAATTACATCCTTAGGTCAGGGGAGGCTAGAGAATGCTACATCAGTGGGATACCTTATTCATAGCAGCTTTTATTATGGGCTTTTTTTAGAGATATTCATGATGCTGGACTTAATTTGGGAATGGAGTTCAATACCCTGGATAGGGCTTCTAAAGCTCAGAATAAAGGGAGGCTCAGTGATGACACAGGAGTCATCAGCCAAGAGTAGCTTTCAATTAAATTATCACTGCTCTCAATCAGTGCTCACATTAAAGTAAAGCAGGCAGCTACAAGTCTATAAAGATAACATGTATTTCAAGCAAGTACAGTAAAACCTTGGTTTGTGAGCATAATTCATTCCGGAAACATGCTTGTAATCCAAAGCACTTGTATATCAAAGCGAATTTCCTCATAAGAAATAATGGAAACTCAGATGAGTCATTCCACAACCCAAAATATTCATATAGAATGATTACTGTAATACAATGCAAAAATAAAGAAAATGCAAAATATAAAGAAAAATAAAACAAATTAACCTGCACATCTTTGAAAATTTTCATGGCTGGTGTGAGGGAGATGAGTGAGGAGGGTTATTGTGCAGGACAACTTTCAGTATCACTAACGGAATCACTGCTATCTATGGGCTCAATGAAATCTTTTTCTTTTTGTGCAACTTCAACAAGGAACCTATCCAATGACTTACTTTTGCCTCCTTTTGAGGATTTCACAGAAATGTGACTTTGCGCATTGTTGTTAAACAGATTCATTGCTTGCACTGCTACAGCCTTATTTGGGTGGTGCTTTTCTATAAAATTTTGCACTGTTTCCCACAGTTTACACATCTTCCTAATCTCATTTGAAGTGAGGGATTCCTCGCCTTTTTCTCTTCCTCCTCTGTAGATGAGATCTCCATAACCTTTTGCATCTGCTTTACCTTTCAGTATCTCCCTCTTGGAGGTGGGGGATACTGAAAGGTAAAGCAAATGCAATATTCTAACCTTGTAGAACAACACACCATATATTCCTCCCACACAAGTCTTGAAGTCCACAGTTAAGACCTGATATGATTTTTAAACAGAGCTTCACAACAAAGCACCAAATATACACCAAATCATTGAACAGTTAGGCAGAACCTGATGTAAGTTAGTCAATGTCAGTTTACAGCACTAAACAACCCAAGACTCTAATAAAAAAGCCCCTTTGTCTTCAGAATGAGTGTATGCCTTGCAGTAACCAACAAGGAAATGCTGTCAGCTTAAAGCTGCTTCCAGCGCAATCCTATACATGTTTAGACAGGAAAACAGTTCTGTAATTCCCAGCATACCCTCCTTTCCTAGAGGGATGCTGGAGTGTAGGACTGCAGTGAGCGAGAGAGAAAAATCATTGGCTCAGTTTTGATCATGTGACATTCAGCATCAAGACATCGTTCGTTTATCAAGTTAAAATTAATTAGAAATGTTTGCTCATCTTGCGGAACACTCGCAGAACAAGTTACTCACAATCCAAGGTTTTACTGAACTAGTTTTTGTGTCTTCAGTCTTTTTCAACTACCTTTGTAAAGGCTTTAGAACCTTAGGCTCAGAGAGTATTTCTAACTACAACAGCAATACAAGCAAGCCTGTAGAATGTCAGGAGGATCTGAGTATTCTAGTATAAAATTACTTTAGCTGATTTCACATTATCTGTCAGTATTTTTTACCCAGTTAATAAAGTTTAAACAGCATCTCAAGCACAGGCACAGAAGCCATTATGTTTCTTGGAGATTGCTTTGCTTGTGCACTTACCTGCCATACAACTTGTACAAAACTGTTGTAACTTTTAGCAGTGTAGCATTCATCACATTGTCAAGGTTTACTTATTATAACCATATAGCAGCTTGAGTTCAAGTGTTAGAACCTTGATGGAAAAGCATAGTGACAGAAGCTAACAAGGCCAGTGAGCACCAAACCATGGTTGAAAAGGTTCATGTCACTTCCAAGCACACAGAATATTGAGAAATGCAGCTAAGACCAATGACTTAAACAGAAGTCCACCCAGAAAGGAAGACCTCAAAGATCATCAACCCTGCATTCTTAACCACTGCTTGACATCTGCCATGTACACACAGTAACACATTAACAGTACACTAGAACAATGGATAGTCAAAGAGTACTCAATAGTATAGCTATTCTGAGCAAAACTGAGCACCTGCATGTTAGTCACATAATACCATGAACTGCATAATAATCCCAAGGTTGTATTACAAAATGAAACTGAAGTTAGGGTAGGACTAAATTGAGCTTTTTCCTACTATTGATCTGTTTGGTAACCCTCTACTGACAGTGTTTCTACATGTTGAGGAAGGAGCAGAGAACTTCACTTTGAGCTACATTTTTAAACAAGTCAATCTAATTAGCACCTCTAAGACTAATATGCAAACAGGAAGAAATAGCCTTTGACTGTGAACTTCTCCAAATTTTATGATGTATTTCCCAAACACTGTAGACACAAATGTGCATGTATATGTATATTAGGGGAAACTACCAAAATGCAATTGTCAAGCTTTTCAAAACAATCCAAAACAGATACAAAAACTGGGCAGAGTGGACTTATGTGAAACTGACACAGGCTGAAAATAGACTTAAGTTTATCCCTAATCCAATGGAGAAGCTTAATAATTATACCAGGTACCCATATTATAAATGCTTTTCTTTCTCAGTCATGACAATCAGCATTTTGGTATTTTTAAGTGGTCAAATAGCACAGGAAAGCATTTAGCTCAGTTTATGGAAAGTAAACAGAACAATTTTGGCGTTCTCTTGCTTAAGTTGTTACCTCCTCCCAAGGAAATAGACAAGTGGGTATGACACAGCCTTGGGGCAAAATACTCTGGCCCCAAGCATTTATGTCTGCTCGATCTAATTGTCAAGCTGCACTAGCTATAACAGGTATATGAGAAAATGTCACATGTGAATAATTTTGACTGACTTAAAATAATTTCACCAGATTTTTTTATTCAAAAACTTGCAGCAGTTTGCCTAATAGTCATGAAATAATTTTATATTCAAATGTTTTGCCAATAATATAGTTACTTCTAAATTAGGTGACTACAGCACAATGAAGTAGAATGCTGTAGATACAGAAATTTTGTTTTACCCAGCTTATAGTGGCTGTTATAAATTCAGCTAGTGTACATTAACTTTTCATAATCTTTTTAATATGTATTATCTGCATTGACACTGTGACAGTTCTACTGTGTGAGTTAACATGATACTTGGTACAGATTTCTTGTATTTGGTCTTCAGATAAAACAGTTTCCAAATCTGACTAAATATAAGCCATTCCAAGCCATTTCAGTCCATCATGGAAATACAGTTTTTTTTCTTGAAATGAAAAACAAACACATAAATAACGGTATAGTCAAAAAAGGATAAAGCAAAGGTTAAACCCCAGTCTTCACCTTTAACTCACCTTAATATGTGAGAGGAAAAGACAGCATGTGAATTAAAGACAGAAGAACAGTCTTAACTTTGAAGTTCATTTCTATTCTGAAACTCAAGGTGGATTCTATCATCACAACTCTGAGAAGTAACCTTTAAAATGTTCAACTGCCGAACACACATTTTTTTTAAAAACACATTTATTATAGTATGGTAGCCACTGTTAGAAAACCACAATAGCTACTTTTAATGAAGACCCTAGAGGGTCTGTGTAGGACATCAAAAGTTAAGGATAAACTTGTCAGATTAATTTCTACTGGTGAGTGCTTATGTTTAAAAATATTGAATATACCTCTGACAAGATTTTTTTTTCTTTTTAAAAGGACTTGTGATAAAGATCTTTTTTCTTTTCTAAATGAAGAATAGTCTGCCATTTTAAACATACACAATATTAAGCAAGACTCTTGTTTTACTTTAGACTGGAAAAATATGCCAGGGACAGTCAAAGTCAACACAAAGTAACAAACAGCAAAAGGTAGCAAGAAAGAGAAACAGGTAAGTGCAGCTCTGGTCAAATTCATAGCAGTTCTTTACGTCAGTTAATGGCTCATTTACACTGTATTTC